ACATACCATCGAATTTTGGAGGGGTTGTGTTCTAGTCAAGCTGTCTATATTTTACAGAGAGGAAAGGAGAGAGATAGAGAGTTAGAAACATCGACTGGAATCGAACCTGGGACCTTTCAGTCCGCAGGCCGACGCTCTATCCACTGAGCCAAACCGATTTCAAGCTGTTTATATTTTAAAGAAATACTTTAAAAATGTCAAAATCAGTATCATTATTCTTAATTAATTTATAAGGAAAGGGTGGTAGGCTCTTTAGATTTTTCAATGAAACAAACCCTAAACTCAAAAGACTATAAAGAAACTAATTGAATACTTCTAGCTCTAATTTCAAATCAAAATACATCAAATATTCATATGTACCTAGAGGAAACAAACGGAATTTCTAGATTCTTTGATTTCACTATAGAATATACCAGATTAATCTGGTAAAGTTATAGATTGAACTATGGCTTAATGAAAATATAGTAGCGGTTAACATTTCTGAACACCTGTATACTTATTTTTATTTTGTATTTTCATAAAACGATTCAGCAAAGGCAGGTTTAATCAGAGAGGTGAAGTGATTTGCTTAAGCTCAGATAGTTAATGCCAGAGAAGTGGGTCACAGGCCTTGGTCTGCTGTTTCCACAGTATCCATTATAATTATATCACTGTAACTCTGGGTAATTTACAAGTTACAGATTGATATGCCCTAACTACAGAAAAGGCATTGTTTTGGCAGAAACATATTGTCTATCCTCTGTGTAGCAATCAATTATTTTAATGTTAAATAAATAAAAAAATAATACTGTTGGCTAATTATAAAGTATCATTTTTAATGAAAACACAAAAATTGTTATATAACAACTGATATTAGAGGTACAATAGCTTCAGACTCAAATGGCTTCTCAAACCTTTAAAAGGGAAACATTTCATTAACTCAATAGTTTATTTGAGTAACCTTCAAGTATTTTCTGATATATAACCTGTTTTTTTTTTTTTTTGTGACCTAAAAAATAAAGTTTATAATGACTTCATAAAAAGAGACATCAGTAGTCAGGAAATTATAGAGCAAAAGATTTAGAGACTAGATATCTTCCATTTGGTGATGTCATGTTGTTTTTCATAAGCTTTTCTTTTTTTTTAAGATTAGCACAAAATATTAAATCCTAGTATTTAGACATGCACTTTATGAATTAAGATCTACATAAAAAATATCAAACATCCTATGAGCTTGCAAAATAAGGAAACCCAACCCTTCTGATCACCACATTCTATTCCCCCATAGGTGAGTGAAATCAGGACATTAAAATTACGTAAAATTTTTTTTAAAAAATTATGTTGAAATTTAAGTCTGTGTTGATGAAAAATATTGTTTTAATTCAAAATAAGAAGATCAGATAACAAAATGATGACATCATTAACTGTTCTCTTGGGTCCATTACTTGAGCGTGAAAGGCTAATGACATTGTTTTTACTTTTGGACACACCTACATTCATTTACCTATGTCACACAATTCATTCTGAGAGGAACCATTCCCACATTGGTAGGTTTTCTTTATTATATATGAAATTAAAAAATGCATTTATTGGGATGAAATTTTTGGGAAAAAGACATTGAAAGCTTTTTCAACAAATATACATACAGATTCAATGCAAATGAATTCTGATATGACTAAACTAAGGAATTATTTGATATTTATTTTAAAATTAGTATCTTATGTTGTGCTGCATTTGCCTCAGTAAAGTTATACATAAACAATCCTTTGAACTATCAAAAATCACATTGTATTTTTCATTTGTACATTCAACAAAAATTTAAGTGTCTCCTATTTAAGGCACTGCGACTTAAACTTACTATCGGACTGTAACTTTCTTGAGATACAAGGAACAATAACATAGAAGAATAATGCTTATTAGCACTTTTTTTGGCAATAATAGCAGGTACTCAATAAATACTTGTTGAATGAAATCAGAAATCAGAAAAATTTATATACTGAGTTTTATAATACAAACAATTTAGGGCTACTTACCTATAAAGAAACAATTTTATTCTCTGAATTTTCCTTAGGGAGGAAAATGATATTCCATTCATACAGTTTAAAAATTTAGAACAAGGAGCATTAGGTGTTCTCAATAAATATAAAATGTACTTACATTCTCCTATGGTATAATCAGTACAAGGAGAGATTTCCCAAAGTAGGAAGAAAATGTGGAAAATTAAAAAAGGGTAAAGAGAAATGAAGAGATAGAGAGAGGGACCATGGAAAGATAAGGTGATAAAGTTATGTGTGCAGAGACGTGGAGTGACGTAACAAAAGAACGAGAGAGATCCAGAGTAACACCAAACATATAGAACAAGTCATTGAACTTTCAGTTCAAGAAATGCTATTGACCCACCTCAGGTGGCTCCCAGACTTGTAGGAGAGTTGGAATTACAGAACAACACACTATTGCAATTCAAATGTGCACAAAATGCATGGTGAACCTTAGGGGAAGCAAATAATTGCCTGGAAGATGCAGGGAAGGCATAGAAATGATCTTTGGCTGAGTGTTAAAGGTTGAGATATAAATGGGACTGGTATCCAAAGGTGAAAATTTGGGTAGAAAATTGATTTACATGACTGGAACATAAGATGAATATATGACAGTGTTGGACAGAGAGAAGCAAGTTGGAAGGATTGATGCTTTAACACCATTTCAGACTCCTACTACTATGTGCTAGCATTAATAAGAAAAGTAGACCAAATAAAGTTAAAGGTGTTTTTGAAAAGCTTACTTGGAGATTCTAAAGTGCAGCTATAGTTGAGAATCACTATAATAAGTGACTGGAAGTCAGTGAATATTTTCAATGAGGAATTAGCATAATTAGATCCTTTCAAGGAAGAAAACTTTGGCCTGGATAGTGCAAAGAGAGTGAGTGTGTGGGTGTATCAATACTTTGAAGAACTGAATACCAGTAGTGTCTATTATAATACATATGCATTCACAGAAAAGACATGACATAGACATACTAAGGAAGAGACCATTGTTATACTAATGTTGAGACTATTTGGAATACTTAGGTTAAACGGTTATTCAATGTTATAACCAAGAGTTACATGATTTGCATACTATCTGTTATATTTGCCACATAAATCTAGTGAACTCAAGGCAAAGGCCCTGGTTGGAGTTGGTTTTAATACCCACTTCAAATGCCTTCTGAGAACCTACTATTTATAGATACTCATAGCTAATTCTCCTTTGTAAACTGAAGAAATTATTAGTAAAAAACTAATAATGCCAATTTTTTAATCAGATGAAACCATTTTATCTTGTTTTGGAGGTCACACTAGTATTCATGAATATTATTCTATGTTTGTGTCCCTTGTTAAACTGCAAGTATTTATCAGTTTTTTATGAGTAATTAAAAACTCATTAAAAAATCAAACTTCAGTGTTTTCTATATTGTTTTAGAAGTTATTTTGATGTTCTCATTAGCAACTATTAATTTGCATAAGGTGGTATTTTTATTTGTCAGATAATGTCTAACTTTAAAGAAATTTAGAAAAAGAATTGGATCTCTGGTTTCTCTGGGTTGTTAAAAATTATATATGTATCATATACATGACCTATAATAGGCACATAGATATGCCTTTGGTATAAATTACTTTATCTAGAAAACATTGATTGATTTCAATTGAACTTTACCAGTGTTATGAACTTAGTTCTTCCTGTTTATATCTATACATATAGATGTGTATATATATATATATATATATATATCCTTTGAAAAAAATAGATCTCCAGTGACTCATCTCAGGAAAGAACTCATCTAAAAGAATATTTTCCATTCATATGACAATAAAAATAAAAATTGTGTTTTCTAGTTATTATAATTGGTTGCATTACTTTAAGACAGTATCTAGTATTCCCTGAAGTATCTCTCTTAGAATTAGAATGAAGGCACTCAAAAAGTTTCAACCTGTGATTAGTCTATTATGCTTCACTGAGTAGAGTAAGAAAATAATACTCCTCTCTTTTTATTCCTGCTCTACCTCCCTCCCCCTCCCCCTCCCTCCCTCCCTTCCTCCCTCCATTTCTGGCTTCTTGGATTAGAGAAGATGTTAATAAGAATCTCTGATCAAAAGGAACATTTTGCAATAAAGATATTATTATGCCAGAGTTAAAGGTGAGGAAACTGAGAATCAGTAAAGTGACTTTCCACATGCTCTCAAGTAAGGAGTGGAATTAGGCCAGCAACTCTTCTGACTTCCCATTTAGATTCATAATATCTTACTAGAGGACAATTCCCAAAAGTTAGTAAAAAACTATAAAACCCACAATACTATTGTCATAATAGTATGGCTCTACTTAATAACTTCTTTAGAGATTTATGTCCCCAGACTGGAAAGCAGTCTTATATGTGAGCTACTTTTCCTAGTTTGAGGAACATCAATCTACTTCAAAAATTTAAACTCCTTTTCTCTATGTATTTTCTGCATTTAAAAACTCTTGAAAATCTTTTAAAGGTTATAAATTTCCTTCTAACAAAAATGTATATACACTCATGTAGACAAAATTTTGCATACCATTTTAAAGGTCCATTTTTAAAAAAATAATCGAGGAGACAAAGGGATCTGCCTAAAGGAACATATATAATAGCTTTTTAGTATTACCTGTATGATTTTTTTTCTCTCTCTAAAACAGATTTGTTAGGTGCAAAAGTTTAAAATCTTCACCTAAATGGTATGAAATAACATGTATAAGATTAAGTTTACCTTAACCCTCAATTTTAGTACTTTTTCAATCTTGTAAACTCTTAAAGAAAATATGGGTACACAAAACACTTAAAATTCTAATTACACCGTATAAATGAAAACAGTTAAAATCTCACAATTTTCTCTGGAACTTATACAGAATGATATGATATGAATGTAAGGCTTTGAGAAGAACATTGTAAGAACTTGAGACCTCATAATCCCTACCCAAACAAAAACAGACATAGGACAAAATTTAATTTTTAAAGGTAAAAATGGAATTCACTTTTTATGAAAAAGAAGATGTTTCACCATCCCTGCCAAGATTTTGGGTAATTGTGCAGCAATAACTTCAGACATCATTTCTGGAAATTCAACGCTCAGTGCCCGGGACTGGATAAACGTATTCAAGCAGTACAGATGAAGTTGTTTAACAAGCTGTTGGTTTAACAAATGGAAAAAAAAAAATGTAAGAAAAGTAAAAAATTCATATACTATTCAAGCATGGCAACTTATTTTTCTAACAATATAAATACTCGCCAAGATGTTTTCTTCTTACCAAAATGAAAAAACTAGCTCCACTTTCGAGAATATATAAAATATCACACACTTGTAATGTTATAATAGTAAAATAGGATTTTTAAAAATGAAAGTGATGGAAGGAAAAATGTTGGCCGAATAGGCAGATGTGTCCTGTGCCTTGGCCTGGAGCAGACAGAAAGAGCAACAAAATTGACTACAAGACCTCAAAAAGCCAAAGAAATTCTGAGAAAGAAGAACAAAGCAGGAGACTTACACTTCCTGATTTCAAGCTATACAATCAAGTTATAGTGATAAAAACAGACCAATAAACCAGAGGAATAAAATCAAGAGCCTAGAAATAAACCAGAGTATATATAATCAACTAAGCTTTTTAAAATCCTCACTTGAGAATATGTTTATTAATTTTAAAGAATATGAAAGAGAGGAAGGGAGGGAGGGAGGAAGGGAGAGAGGAGAGAGAGAGAAATATTGATGTCAGAGAGAAACATTGATTAGTTGTTTCTCATATGCCCTGACCAGGTATGGAACCCACAACCTAGATATGTGCCCTGACTGGGGACTAAACCTACAACCTTTTTTTTTTGTATGTATAACGCTCCAATCTATTGAGCCACCTGGCTGGGGCTCAACTAACATTTGACAAGGGAGCCAATAATACTTAATGAAGCTTGACTACTCTTACACCCCTCACAGAAATTAACTTGAAATTAATTAAAGATTTAAATGTAGGACCGCCCAACTGACATAGCTCAGTGGTTGAGCATCGACTTATGAACCAGGAGGTAATGGTTTGATTCCTAGTCAGGCAAATGACTGGGTTTGGGGTTCAATTCCCAGTAGGGGGTGTGCAGGAGGCAGCTGATCAATGATTCTCTCTCATCATTGATGCTTCTCTCTTTCTCCCTCTCCTTTCTTCTCTAAAAACAATAAAAATACATTTAAAAAAATAAATAAATGTAGGAACTGAAAGCATTAAATGCCTATTAGAAAATAGAGAAAAAAAAGCTCCTTGACGTGAGTCTTGGTAATGATTCTTTGGAAATCACACCTAAAACACAAGCAACAACAACAACAAAAGCAGGACTACATCAGACTAAAAAACCTCTGCACAGCAAAAGAAACTATCAACAAAGTGAAAACACAACCAAAGGTATGGGAAAAAATATTTACAAACCATATAACTGGTAAGAGGTTATTATCTGAAATATATAAAGAACTCCCATAACTCAGTAGCAAAAAATGCCCCAACAAACAAATAAATAAACAAACAAAATACCCCAACCCAAATTATCCAATTAAAAAATGGGCAAAAGACCTGAATAGACATTTTTACAAAGAAGATATATACGAGTGGCCAACAGGTACATGAAAAGATATCATTAGGGAAATGCAAAGGAGAACCACAATGAGATATCACCTTATGCCTGTTAGAAAGGTCCTGAGTAAAAAGACAAGAGATAACAAGTGCTGGTATGGAGGTAGAGAAAAAAGAACTCTTGCACACTGTTGGTGGAATTGTAAATTGGTACAGCCTCTATGGAAAACAGTATGGAGGTTCCTCAAAAAATTAGAAGTAGAACTACCATGTGATCCAGCAATTCCACTTCTGGGAATATATCCAAAGGAAACAAAAACTCTAGCTACAAAAGACATCTGTACCCTCATATTCCTAGCAGCATTATTTATAATACACAAGGGAAATAACCTATGTGTTCATCAATGGATGAATGGATAAAGAAGATGGCATGTGTATATAAAATATATACCCAATGAAATACTATTCAGCCATAAAAATTAAGAAATCTACCATTTGCAACAATGTGGATGGACCATAAAGGCATTATGCCAAGTGATATAAGTCAAACAAAGACTGTATGATCTCACTTACTAGTATATGTGGAATCCTATCTACACTAATAAAAGAGAAAAATGGTAATTGGCGTACGACGCTTCATTGGCTAATCAGGGCTATATGCAAATTAACTGCCAACTAAGATTGGCAGTTAACTGCCAACAAGATGGCAGTTAACTGTCAACAAGATGGCAGTTAATTTGCATATGTAGGCACAATGCAGGGAGGCTAAAGGGAAAGCAGGAAGAAGCCCCCTGCCACTGACAGTGATCGGAAACCCAGGGGGGAGCTAAGAGCTGAGGGGCAGGGCAAAGGTGGCCCCCAGCCATGATTGGAGAATCAGGAGTTTTTGCAGCCCTGGCCAGTGATAGCAGGAAGTAGGGGTGGAGCCAGCGATGGGAGCTGGGCACGGTCGAAGCTGGCAGTCCACGGAGCTAGGGGT